CTAAAGGGAATTTTGTCTGCAGGGTATTTGGCTTTTCGTACGGCTTCCTTCACTCAGAATACTTATCCACATTGTGGCATTGATCAACAGCGTGCTCCTCTTTATTGCTGTGCAGTATTTCATCATGTGGGGAGACTGCAATTTGCTAGTGCACCTATGTGTTTCTGGGGACATGAATTATCCCATTTGGGACTGTTACAAATAAAACTGCCATGGGGGCCAGGAAGATGGCTCAGTGGAATAAGTACTTCCCTGGCCAGCGCAAGGACCTAAGTTCAATCCCCGGTTCTGAAAAAAAACCAAACACCTGCCATGGACATTTGTGCACAGGTCTTTGGCTGTATTTCCTTACTTTTCTTGACTAAGTATCTAGGAATAAAATGGCTGACTTGTGTGTTAGTAGTTTTCTAAATGCCAGATGGTTTTCCACAATGTTTTGTGTTTTTGCTTTACCTGTTCTAATTTATGTGTCATTCCTTTGCCTAAGTACGGACATTCAGGTCTAGACAGTACAGAATATGAATATATATAGATATATATTTAAAATAACAAAACAATCATCTATCCTTTTGGAGCATGGTGTGGTGTCCTCAAAGCTGTGTACCACGTACAACCGTCCTGTCGGGGTCACGCACACGCCACGGCCTCAGACCCTATTTCTCTGTGCTAGGAACTTTTGAAATCCTGTCAGCTCTTTTAAAATACACAATTCATAGCTTTCACCATAGTGGCCCTGCTGTGCAATGGTTTTTGTTTTGTTTTTTTAAAACATTTATTTATTTATTTATTTTGTGTGTGTGTGTGTGTGTGTGCGCGTGTGTGTGTGTGTGGCCAGCTCAGCTCACCAGGGGGCGGGGCTGGCTGGCATGTGGCGCTGGGGGATCGAACCGCGGTCCCTGTGCTTTGCTAAGCTTATTCTAAGTAGGTGCTTTAGACCACTGAGCCATCTCGCCAGCCCTGTGCAATGGTTTGTGTATTCAAAAACACTTGAAGAGCTGACCAAATAGCTCAGAGGATTAAAGGGCCTGCAAGCAAACGCAGGGGCCAGGGGTACGACCCCGGGCCTGCCACGCCATG